CGAGGCGTGCATGGGGTATCAGGGGGTTTCACAGGGCGGTGTGCAGCCATCACAAGCCTCTCTTCCTGCTGCTTTCCTGCCTTCCTGCAGCCTCCCTATCCACAATCACATCGGCCCTCTACCTACTTACCTACCGGGGTACCTACCTCTACATATGCAAATAACGACCGGCGTCATGATCAAGCGGCCGCCACACCCTATTACCTAGGCCATGTGCACAAATCCGCTCGGTCCTCCTTTTGCTGTACGTACGGTGTCGTACGAGTAATGTACGATGCCTGATTGAAGTCGTTCCCACGCGGCGCGGGGCGGTGACTGATGGAATGGTTACCACGAGCACGTCAGGTACTGCACACGTTGGACGAGCTTACAGCTGGGTTTACAAGCATGCAGATGGATGGGCACAGCACAGCACAGCGATCAGCACAGCACAGCGATCAGCACAGCACAGCTCAGCAGCGCACGGCACCCTCCAGCCCAGTTGTACATTTTCGTATGGGCGGGTGCACGGCTGCAGCGGTAGTGTAAGGCCGCAACCATGCTGGCAAGTTGGATGCGCAAGCGCACCATTGACAAGCCCCCGAGAAATATTCAAGTTAATCGCAGGTCCTCAATGAGGACCATATTAGCGATTAAGCTAATAAGAACAGATACTACACATGATCTGAGCCAAAAGGCCGAGAAAGGTATGGAAACAACAGGGATGGGCCACGGACGAGTGCACGGCAAAATACTCCTTTGGCCAAGCTTGCGCTCGATGGTGGGGGGTGGTATTTAGAAGCACATTGCTCCCCCTGAAAGACCTTGCTTGCTGTTCCTGGTCCGCAATGTCGGGGCCAAGCAGTAGCTTATTACAGCAGGACCGATTAAGCTAATGCACAGAGCTGGTGATTCGGCCGCTGCTTCAATCCGTCAGAGCGGTGTAGCGGAGTCCAGTCAGTAGGGACCCATCCATGTCCCTGCCCGCCTGCTGCAGCAGCAGTCAAGGCAGCCGGGTGAAGCTGACGCCACAGACCTTGAAAAAAACAGGCATGCGGAGGTGGAGCTGCGCGTCAGATATCGCGCCTGTAACTGTAGGCTTTATGAGCGAAACGAAAGAAAACCAAAGTTTTCTGTGTATTTGCCGAGCGTGTACTCGGTTGAATGTCCTGGGTGTGTACGGCTGGACCGTACAGGGCTAGAATAAGTCGCAGGAGTGCGACGGAAAGAGCAATTTCGCGAGTTCATAGCGAGTTCATGCTGACAGGTTTCCGCTGCGGCTTCTGCCTAACCTACAGGCTTCAGAAGCAGAGTCGCTCGGTAACCAGGCTCGCCCCCTCCCACGGAAGCAAGCACTAACTTTCCTGCCTGCAGGTACCCCTCCGTCTGAACGACCCCTAAGCGGTAAGGCAACTACTCAAGAAAACAAAGATTTGGCTGTAATAAAGGCTTGGCATTGTAAAAGCAACGTGTGCCCTGTAATGGACACTTGGCGCTAGCCAACCGTGAGGCCGCCGCGGCCATGCCATGCGCAGGGGTTGGAATCCACAGCATCCACATCGAACACGTACGGGCCAAGGAAGGGCATCTGTACCCGGACAGGAAAACACAGCACAGCGAGGCGTGCATGGGGTATCAGGGGGTTTCACAGGGCGGTGTGCAGCCATCACAAGCCTCTCTTCCTGCTGCTTTCCTGCCTTCCTGCAGCCTCCCTATCCACAATCACATCGGCCCTCTACGTACTTACCTACCGGGGTACCTACCTCTACATATGCAAATAACGACCGGCGTCATGATCAAGCGGCCGCCACACCCTATTACCTAGGCCATGTGCACAAATCCGCTCGGTCCTCCTTTTGCTGTACGTACGGTGTCGTACGAGTAATGTACGATGCCTGATTGAAGTCGTTCCCACGCGGCGCGGGGCGGTGACTGATGGAATGGTTACCACGAGCACGTCAGGTACTGCACACGTTGGACGAGCTTACAGCTGGGTTTACAAGCATGCAGATGGATGGGCACAGCACAGCACAGCGATCAGCGATCAGCACAGCACAGCGATCAGCACAGCACAGCTCAGCAGCGCACGGCATCCTCCAGCCCAGTTGTACATTTTCGTATGGGCGGGTGCACGGCTGCAGCGGTAGTGTAAGGCCGCAACCATGCTGGCAAGTCGGATGCGCAAGCGCACCATTGACAAGCCCCCGAGAAATATTCAAATTAATCGCAGGTCCTCAATGAGGACCATATTAGCGATTAAGCTAATAAGAACAGATACTACACATGATCTGAGCCAAAAGGCCGAGAAAGGTATGAAAACAACAGGGATGGGCCACGGACGAGTGCACGGCAAAATACTCCTTTGGCCAAGCTTGCGCTCGATGGTGGGGGGTGGTATTTAGAAGCACATTGCTCCCCCTGAAAGCACCTGCTTGCTGTTCCTGGTCCGCAATGTCGGGGCCAAGCAGTAGCTTATTACAGCAGGGCCGATTAAGCTAATGCACAGAGCTGGTGATTCGGCCGCTGCTTCAATCCGTCAGAGCGGTGTAGCGGAGTCCAGTCAGTAGGGACCCATCCATGTCCCTGCCCGCCTGCTGCAGCAGCAGTCAAGGCAGCCGGGTGAAGCTGACGCCACAGACCTTGAAAAAAACAGGCATGCGGAGGTGGAGCTGCGCGTCAGATATCGCGCCTGTAACTGTAGGCTTTATGAGCGAAACGAAAGAAAACCAAAGTTTTCTGTGTATTTGCCGAGCGT